AAGACAAACTATCCTCTCTCCATAATTCAACCTCAAAGTGAAGCTTTAATATAGGCATTGCACTCGATACATCCATTCGGGAGATATGAAGGCAAACAAACAAATAAAAAACAAAGCAAAAATTAGAGAATCTCGAGATGTTATGTCCAATACCATATAATACAATTGACAAGTATTGGAAGCCAATAATTTCATATTAAATAAATAAATAAAACATAAATAGATATAAAACTCATTCAATAAACAATAATAGACAAAATCCATATATAATTCCATTGAAAACTAACATCTTAAAAAAATTGAAAAGATTCGAGATTCTAGACCCAATTTCATTTAAATAAACAAATAAAACATTAACAAATACAAAACTCATTTAACAAAAAACAATATTGACAAAACCCAATACAAATCCATCAAAAATTGCAACCTAAAAACATTTGAAAAGTTTGGAGATTGCTTATCTTATTTAAACCCACAAAAAAAAAAAAAAAAAGATGAGAATGACAAAAAAAGGATAGATAATACAAGGGGTGCAAAATTAATATGGTCTTTCACTAATCAAAGATAATGAAAATTTAGGATTTTTTAGACTAAAATTGATTCGGATATTAGGGTTTTTTTCCTTCGATTGAGAAAGGAGAAGATGAAGTGAATAAAGAGAGAGAAACAATAATGTTTCTCTTTCATTTTATTGATTTAGTTCGGGGTTAATAGGGTGGTGCAGTGTAGTCTTTTTCCATCTCTTTAAAAAAACCTCAATGTTTTTTTAAGATTAAAATTATTTTAAAGCATTTTTTTTTTTAAGTTCAAACATATACTAAAAAAATTGGGGCCTACGTCACCATATATCAACGTGTGGTTGGTTATTGTTAGTTTTAAGTTACCAGGTGGAATGAATACTTAACGATGTTGTTATAATAAAGGGGTTGAATCAATAAATTTATAAAAATAAAATATTTCAATTAATCTCAAAAAATATAAAGAGTTTTAATTAAAAAAAAATTCATTTTGTACATGAATCAAATGTGGATAAACCCATAGAAGAATATACAAATATAATTGTTAAATAAAAAAACTCAGAATTTAAATGATTTCATCTTTTAAAATAGAGATTATTCGGGAGATTTTTAGTTAAGAATCTTCAAGAGCCTCTCATGAACAACAGTATTTGATAGAAACTATTTTCAATTTAAAAGTTTAAACTCTTTGTTTTTCATATCTTGGATTATGTATCCATATCTTTATATACAAGTGTCTCTCGATTTTCTGCTCATACGCGTAGCTCAACACATCCAAATCGACACATATGTTGATAAATTGTATCTCTCATTCTCCTGAGCTATTGGCAAAACCAATAATAATGCAAACTGAAGAGAAATTTTAGGGATCGATGGGCATATGTTATTCCAGAAGCTAAGAAGACCATAGCATCCCAAATTTTAGGAAATGACATCATAAAAGACCTGAAATACCATCGTTCGTTTGCCTGACATTAGCAAACTTGGCTTATACAATCCTAGTTCCTCGAAAAAACCAGTCCAAAGGGGGCCATGGATCCAAGAAAATCCAAAGAGGTTCACGTGGGCTTACAATCATATTTTTTCGTAAAGTGGACAAACTTAGGCTTGTATAACTTCCTCGCATATATTTTGTCTGCATGTCTACTTCAATTTCAACCTCCTTTAACCCTATCTACATATACATCCATATTGTCCCCACAAGTTAATGCTATGTTCGACTTAACTTGTGGAAGAACATATGCCATGCACGTGAATAAGATTCTAATCTTGGGACGTGTCTTTTTGTTGGCAGATTCGCAAGAAATTTTTTTCTACCATGACAAGATCAGAATGAATGACATTATCATTGATTATTGAACTGATAGACATGTGATCGATGATCGTGATATTTTAGAATCCTAAGAGGATTTTGTGGATTTTATTTTTTTTAGATGTCAAGGGAGGATGAGATCTATATACTGATAGCCAAACGACATAATTGAGCATTCAGACAAAACTGATCAAATTATTTCGAAAATTTTGACACGAGTTTGGATGCTTATGGAAAAATTTTAGCTAGTTTCAAAAAATTAAATCTATCAATTGGATATCCTCATGAATATCAAAGTTTTACGGTAGAATCTAATCTGCAAATTTTATTCCTTTAAATCTATCAATTGGATATCCTAATGCCAAAGTTCATCAAGACATCATAAAGTTCAATATTAGAGTGCCTAGAGTACTTCATCGACTTAAAGCATTTTTGTCAATTCTAATGGGCGAAGCAAACTGATTCTCTGGAGTGCTGCTTCTTCAGCAAATTTACCTCCACAATTTTTATTAGCTATTAAAAGATCTTGAATAAATTAAATTAAAGACTGCTAATAAATCATTAAAAATCATATATATTAATGTGTATATAATTAATAGGCTAGGCAATCCCATAAATTATGAGGGAAAAAAATCCTATAAATCAACATGGATAGCTTTATCATTAAGTTGTTTTCTTTATAAAAGAGTCATTGTCCCTATGCTATGCTAATTAATACATACCCATACGTTATACTGTCAATCTATAAAAAGGTACCATCAATCATTCTATATATACGAACTAATTAATACATACCCATACTTTATACTATTAATCTATGAAAAGGTATCATCAATCGTTTCTATATATATATACGAACTAACAAAACACAAAATCATTCAATAATAATTGCCTAGTTCAAAATCCACGGATTTCAAAATAAATAAATAAATAATCACTCAATAATAATTTCATGGTAGTCTAACAATTAGGTTTGCGCATCAACATCTCTTTAATTACGAGAGAACTTCTTAGTATGGCAATCTTGGTGCAACCTTCTTCTTAGAATAACCATTTGCCAAGTGCCCAACTTCTTTACCAAAGCAGTAAACCTCGGTGCCAACTTAACAATTCTCGATATGCACTTAGCCACACTTGATGAATTTAGGCTTGCCTTCCATTTTTACCTCTACTATCTCTCGAAAAATTCAGCTTTCTTAGCATTATTTGGCCATGTCCTCTCAAACCGATTTTGTTTACAACCTACTCACCAAATCTAGTTGCAATATGCGGCCTTTTAGCTCGCTGCAGCCGTGCCACCTTTCTCTAATCTTCCTCTATCTATAGTGTTCTTGTAACTATGTCACCATAATTATCTTCTGACACTCGCACTAAAATGCACACCTCTAGTTTTAAACCCCTAAGAAAGTAGCCTCTCTTCTGTGCAACAACCCTTGAAATGAAAGTTGTAAACTAGCAATCATGCTCAAACTTTCAGACATACCCGATCACTAACATATCCCCTACTCTAACTTCATAAACTCTAGTATCTTCTTCGATTTCACACTATCAAAGAAGAATTTTTCATGAAAAACATCTTTTAATTGTGCCCATATAAGATTAGGTAAATCCAAAGAAATTTTTGCCGATTTCCACAATGTCTTATCATTGTCAACCAACATAAAGATGGCACAAGATATCCTATATACATCCTCTATTGCCATATGGTCAAAAATCATCTCTAGAAACTCTATCCATTCCTTTGCAACGATGGGGTTACATTTGCTCACAAATTCTTGTGTGTTGAAATTTTTGAATCGCTTAACCATGTCAACCCTCTACAATGGCTTCACCACTCCTTCTTATTGCTGCTGCATAGCCATTAAAACTCTTATTAGTACTCGATTTCTTACCTTTATTATTATTTTTTTATTTTAGGAAAAATTTAAAAAAAAATACCTCCTAAAATAAAAAAAATACCAAATATATAAAAAGGAAGAGAAAAGAAATCAATTTAAATAAATGGTTCAAATTAGTTCTAGGGGTCTAATTTATTAAAAAAAAAGAAGAAGGAAATTTAGGAATCAAAAATTCCAATTGAAGGTACAATTAAAAAGCTCAAAACCCCAAACCCTTAAATAAAAGAAAAGATGGGTATAATTGAAAGAAATCTAAAAGAAAAAGTCTTGATTAATTATAATTTAGGGATGTCATTGAAGTTTAAAGAATTAAAATTGTACTTAATTGATGAGTCGGGAGAAATTAGGGACAAAAATTGATCTTTGCCCAAAAATGACTAATTTCCACCTGTAAATATTAACCTCCTCCTCTCTTTTTTTTTTTTTTTTTTTTATACCAGCCACTATTCATCATCCTAAAAAACGAAGCTGATGCCATTTTTTCTCCAAGTGATCGAAACCCTAGCCTTCTTCCTCTCATCCAACCAACCACCACCCGAACACCACAATCTCTTTTAACAAAGCAACCTAAACGAAGATAAAAATTTATGCGGAGCAGGTGCCATTGTTATTATTTTCAATAATTTATGCACATGCTCAAATTATTGAAGTACCTCTATTGTTTTGTCTCTCATGAGTATTTAACTGAGATTCTTTTAATTGAATTAGTTTAGTTTAGTTAATTAAAATGTGAAGAAGATTATTATTATTATTTGTTAACAAAGAAAATTCAATATTTACACTCTAAGAGCAACTTTTTCGGATCAAATAATATTTTTTTATAATGTTCATGAGAGCTAAATCAATAAATTTAATTTTTAAAGAATATATTGATCACGAAACAATATAATGTATTTGTATATATAGCACTGCTCGACTTGAAAACTCTTCGGCTATACGTATGTGAATGAATGAATTGCAAACTTTCATGCTTCATTTCTTGCTCCATTAAAAATTCTAAGCAAGTCCAAGAATTAATTGTCCAACCAATGGGAGTGAAAAGAATACGAGGATACATTAAGAAGGAACAATGAAGGGAAAAGAAGGAACGATGAAGGGAAAAGAGGGGGAAAAAAATCTAAGAGAAAGAAGGAGGTTCCTTTGTGGTTATGATACAGAAATTGAAAAAAAAAAATGTCATTCTTCGAAGCCCATCCCAACTCCCAAGTCCAATGAACCACATTGACACAAGGCCTAGGTTTTGACAAATAGAATCCTTTAAAGCCCACCATTATGAACAAAGTAAGCCCAGCTCAACAAGCAGCCAATTTTAGAAGTGCAGTTTCATGAATTCATCTATGCAACTATTTTCCAAAAACAAACAAAACGCCACTTCCAGTTAACCATGTGAACATCGATCTATAAATTTAGTTAAAGAACTTAAATTAGTCATTACTAGTTAGATACCCATATTACACTATGATCAGACATCCATTATATATATATATATGATTATCGATTCATATAGTGTGATGTTAATAAATGTTTTGTTTCTAGAGATTAATGTCAATCGAATTTATATATTGAGCGAATTTATTTGATTTATATATATTTATTAACAAAATAATTTATAATATGAATATAAAAATTTTTATTTAAATAATTAAGAGGTTTTTTCAAAACATTAATTAAATTATTTTATTTAAAAATACAAATTTTAGAATATGAAAAAAATAAATAACAAATAATCGGTATTATGTGTGCAAATATAATTAATTTCTAACAAAACTATATCTATATAACCAAATAAAACTTTTGAATTTTTTAACTAATTATCAATTTAAAAAAAAAATTGAGCCAGATTATTTTTTAACTAATTATTATTTTAAAAAAATCAAATCAAATTATCCAAAACACACTTTTAGCTCCTCTCTCTCTCTCCCTCGTCAAAATTTATATATGACAAAACTATATATATATATATATATATATATATATATATATATATATATATATATATATATATAGTGTCCATCGCTAATCCCTCACTACTTAAAGACGAATTTTAGTATCGATCGTAAACACGAATTTAAATCTGTCGTTTTATTTTTTTGTTATTTTAGAATTGGATCAAAGTAAATAGTCAGCAATGAGGTACTCAAATCTGTCGCTAAGTAATAAGGGATTTATTTTTTCATCGCTAATTTAATCAAAAATAGGAGTTAGCGACTGAATTGATATTCCATCGCTAATTTCCCACATAAATCCATCACTATTCTTTCACTAGTATAGGCGCATTTTATTTTTTTAGGGCTAGTTAGCAACAGAAATTTATATGTCACAGATATTCCATCGCAATTTCATTTCAAAACATTTTTTTCATAATTAAGTCGTAAAATAGATACAGTAGATTGCCCATCGCTAATTGACGGCTTTCTTATAGTAAAAGACTTTCTGCAATATCACGTCTACTTCTTTTTTTCTTTTTTTCTTTTTTTGTTATTACAATTTTTAGTTTCATTCTTTAATTAATTACGTGTATATATATATTATGAGAATAATTATAGCATATATATTCAATAGTGAGATTTTTTTTAATAAAATCCTCTTCACCCCAATTGTTAAAAGTTTTAAATATCATTTGGAAATGTAATTTTATTTTAGTTAACGTATAAATTAATTTGAAAATATATTTTCTCGTTAAACAGAAAGGAAAAAAATGGAAACAAACTAGGTAGCTCTAGTTTACTAAGGAATTTAACCCTTTTAAGACTCGCTGGTCTTTGGCCAGACATGTTGATTTCACTTTACCTAAAAGTCAAATGGGCATGTGGGAATCCTTAAGACTTAATTTATTATATTATTTAATTTAATCTACACCCAAATTCATTGGACCGTCACCAAAATATAATTTTCCTCACAATACCTAAAACAATATATTGTCAAGGGATGTAGTAATGGAAGAAAGATGTTTTGGTTTAACAAAATTAAAATTCAATTCTAAATATTTATAAAAAAATTCATTATAATTATTTTTTAGTAATACTAGATTGGAGTTGTTTTGATCTTAAACAAATTTATTAGTTAACAAAAAATTAGACATATTCTAACTCTAGTTTAACATAAAAAATAATGAATTTAGCTTGAAAATATCTGATTACCTATAAATATTTATAAAAATAATCTAAAACAATATTCAAACGCTAATAAATTAGAAATCAATAAATATTAACGTTTTTTTTTTTTTTTTGGAAAAATATCAGATTCGAACCATTTAAAAAAAAATGGAAAAGTGAGAAACACACATGTGTACATAGTACTAAATTTTTGGTAAACAATACACAAATTTTATTTTAATGCAGCAGTTTAGATTCTAGATGATTGTTTCAACCATGCTAAATATATATATATATATATATATATTTAAAAAAAAAAAAGGAAAACAATAGACTAAAAGAAGAAGAGAAGTGGTAGCTGAACGTTGAATTTGTTGTGCACGCAAGAGGAAAGCCAGCAAAGAAGCAAAATGGTCAAATAAAGTGACTTTAACGGAACACAAACATTATATCAACGCTTCTTTTTTGGTCTGAAGCTTTTCAGAAGACAGGTAAAGGCAGCACCAGATATCATTGAAACTGCATATTATTATATCTCTTTGAATCTCAGCTTTTCCTCTCTCTATCTCTCGATAACAGGTGATTTTCTCTTTAAAAGTCTCTATCTTTCTTTGTATGTGCTGTCATGGTTTAGTTTGCTTGGCTTTACTGTACAGTCTTTGATATTGACTCTTTTTTTTTTTTTTCATGCAAAGTTTTGGATTTTGATGTGTTTTTGTTAATGGGTTTTGGTGATTTATTGTTTTGACGGAATTGATTTGGTGGATGATTGAGAAGCAGCAAGCTATTTGAGTTTTAGCTTAACCTGTATTATTGTTTGTTATCTTTGACTATTTGATATATGGAAAGTTCTTCCTTTTTTTGGTTAGGCAATGTGGAGATATAGATTTTGGGTGAGGTTTTGAGGGAAAATTGGGTTTAAAATTAAGAAAAACCAGAACTAAGCTTATGATGGAAATTATGTATGCAGTGCTCTTTTAGGTTGCTAGAAGGGTTTAGGAAAAGAGAACTTGCACTGGTTAATTCAACTTAACAATTTATCAAAATTTTCAAGTTTTTACTTCATATCCTTTTCTGTGGTTTTCTAGCTGCCAAATTTACTTTGAAGCAAATAGAGGAAAGTAGATTAGTTAATTTTAGTACAACGCTGTTGCAAGCCATTAAATTTTGGATTGGCAACCAATATTTGCTGCATTTGAATATTGTCTGGGCAGTGTTTTACTTTGAATGGTTTCCCGAAGTTGAAATTATCAGACAGGCATTTATGGAGAGCCAGATAGAGCAGAAGCGTGTGCTCTTTTGAAGCTAATCTATTTGTTTGTGATAATTGGTATGGTGCAATCAGATATTGAATTAATGTTAATTAAGCAAACATTCTAACTATGAATTTCGGATTTGGTCACACTCTGACCATGGGGTTGCCAAAATGGTGGTACATAAATAAATTATGTTGTACTAACTTGAAATGATCCATAACTGACTGGGATATGCTATTCTTTTTAATTTGTTCTGTTTGATAGGATTTATTCCTGAAGCTTCAAAACACTGATGTCTCTGTGATATAACTAGAATCAACCTTATTTGCAAGGGTTTTTTAAATATAGGTAAAGAAGTTGTCAAGTATGGGGAATGGGGAATCATCTTTTGATGATCATCAATATGACTTCCAGCAACAACCCCCTTCTTATGCAGAAAGCCAACCCCCTTCTTATGCAGAAAGTCAACCCCCTTCTTATGCAGGAAGCTCGATGTTTCGTAACTATCAACATAAGCAGCATCCAACTTTCATAGCTGACAATTTCAACTCATTGGATCAGGTATCATTCTTGGTTCAACATGATGTTTCTCTTTTACTTTCTCTTCTAAGAAAATGAAAACGGTGCATGGCTTTTTGATGGCAAGGAGTGTCATAAGATTATATATAATACACTGCAAAATATGACTGGATCTTTGATTGGGCATAATAGATGGTAATCAAAATGTCTTATTCTAAAAAGTGTTTGTAAGCAACTGTGTGAAATGTGCATATTGAGTTCATATGTTGCTTTAGTGGTCAAGGAATATAAAGTTATTTGCTCAGCGACATTGTTCCAATAGAACACAAATGAAGCATAATTTACACAACATGGTTTGTATTGTAGCCCTCTGGTCAACAATACAAGAAGCTAACCTCGCTGTGTATTATAATTTCCTGGGTATAAGAGGCTAACAGCTCTTGCACTCTTCATTAGGAGGGAAAGGGAGGAGGATGGATGGCAGGGGAAGGATGAGATGTTTCCCTTGTTTGGCTGGTTGGATGGAGAACCGAAGGAAGGATCCCTCCTATCCTTCTTGATTTGTAATTTGCTACCTTTCCAATGTCGGCAGATTTGCTTCCATCCTTTCCTGACCTCTTAAGCCAACAACTAGATGGATGGGTTAATCCCCCTTTCCCCTCTCTATCCTTCTCCATCCTTCCTACTAAGCAGAAGGCTATTGACGATTATGCAGGATTGTGATAAGGTAGGGAAAGGCAACAGAGGATTTAGGATGATGATTCAGGATGGAGGTTCTTGGCACTGGATTGCAAATATGTATAGTAGAAGTATCAGATCATTTCATAGTGTTGACTTATGAAGTTCATATTAGAAAGTTCTAACAAAATTCAATGATCATAAGCATAATATGATTGGAGAAACATCTTCAAAAATTATATAAACGACAAATCAGTAAAACATCAAAGATATCAGATAGCTGAAAGATGTTACAATTAATTGGTGGGAAAATTGTCAGAGACTCCCAATCATCACAAGGAAAACATAAAAAATTGCACTTGGTTATAAGCATAAATCTCAAGAAGAAGAAAAAAGGTGGAGTCTGAGTAGCATACCACTCAGCTTATTTATTGCCTCTCTTATTAACAAACTTAAACAACTTTTGGTGTATTCTCAGGTTATTTCTGCATTGAGAGAAGCTGGTCTTGAATCATCCAATTTAATACTTGGAATTGATTTCACCAAGAGTAATGAGTGGACAGGTGATTCTTCCTTTCCATTGAGAACTATCTAATTTTGTATTTTATAAATGCTGATTAATAGAGGGAATGTGCTTTTCCCCAATGATTTTAGGCAGGCATTCATTTAACCGGAAAAGCCTCCATGCAATCGGTAGCACACTGAATCCCTACGAACAAGCAATCTCTATTATTGGCCGTACTCTGTCTCCTTTTGATGAAGATAATTTGATACCTTGTTTTGGATTTGGTGATGGTTAGTCTTTCTTTATAGCTTCACTATCTGTAAACCAGTTCACTACAGTAGTTTTCTTGGATTGATTGTTCTTTGTTGCTGATTTCTTTCTTATTTTCTTTTGTTAGCATCAACACATGATAAGTATGTATTCAGCTTTTATCCTGATAATCGCCCTTGTAATGGTCTTGAGGAAGCTCTTACACGATACAGACAGATCGTTCCACACTTAAAGTTGTCAGGTTCAACATTGTTCTCTTAACTTCTTTCTTATTTCAAAGCTTGATTTGCATCTTTTTTTCTTACCTTTGACACCTTTGACTGAACAGAATATCATTTCTTTTTTTCTAATATTATTGTTAGTTCCTCCTTTAAGCTGCTAAGAGGTTATGAATTCTTGTGAATGAATAATAAAAGATGGATAATCCTTATTCATGAGAAGTCTATGTGTTAAATTCTCGAAAGAGAAGGACTGATAATAGTAATTTTGACCCACATCTGCAGGTCCAACTTCATTTGCTCCGATTATTGATGTGGCAATTAACATTGTGGAGAAAAGTGGTGAACAGTATCATGTTCTTGTTATTATTGCAGATGGACAGGTTCTTAACTCTTGCTTAATATCTATCTCTTTCTCATCTGCTTCCATGAAATGTGAGTACATTTTTAATATGTTTCTTGTTAATTGTTGCTGGTGGTTTCTTTTCTTTTTTTGGTCAGGTTACCAGGAATCCTGATATACCTCCTGGTCAATTCAGTCCTCAAGAACGTGCAACTGTAGAATCCATAGTTGCTGCTAGGTAAAGTAATGGCATCTGTAATATTGCTTGATATCATGCTTTTCTCACTGTATTGACGCTTGGCAATTTTATAAACAGTAAACATCCTCTCTCAATTATTTTGGTTGGTGTTGGGGATGGACCATGGGATTCAATGCAACAATTTGATGATAACATTCCTCAGCGTGAATTTGACAACTTTCAGGTATAGATATGTATGTGCTGCCTTAGATGGCAAAGTCAAAAAGAGATTTAAAATCTGAAACCTCATCTTCTTGCAAATGAATCTTAGGGTGTCAATACGGATTGAGTTTTCAAAACCATGGTTTAAGTGTCTTGGAATTTTGAAACTATGGTTTGAAAAAGATAGAGACACCCACTTATGATTCCAAACTTGCTTCTCCCTCACAACCTGCTTTGTTTCAAAGCCTCATTCCCAAACTATTTTTTATTTCAGTTCTATTACTTGCACAACTGCATGTAGGCTATGGTGGCTCAATTTATATGATTTTCGTATTGACTGGTATAATCCCAACATAGAATTCGGACCAGGTGAGTTAAATATGTGTTCTGATACCTTTTCTTTCATCCTCATGCAGTTTGTGAATTTCACAAAAATCATGTCAGACAACACTGAATCATTGAAGAAAGAAACAGCCTTTGCACTTGCTGCCCTCATGGAAATTCCACTTCAGTACAGAGCCACGCAAAGACTTCAGTATACAAAGTAAGACAGAAGGTTCATTTTCCAGTTAATTTCAGATATCAAACCAGGAAGTTCAAGTCATAACTATTTTAATTGTGCAGCTACGAATTTGCAGATGGTCCACGGACAAGGCCACTTCCACCTCCTCGTGAAGTGATTGATCATGATAATGCAGTCAAATCAATCCCACACATGACGAACTTTGAACCAGCTCAACCAACAGCTCCAGTGGAACAGGTACATTTTTCTCCTCAATTTATCCTTAACGTTCATATTTATATCAGGAATTTGTTTTGATATACAAGCTTTACTGTTCAAGGTCTGCCCTATTTGCTTGACAAACCCAAAAGACTTGGCATTTGGATGCGGTCATACGGTAAGTGCATTTCCCCTGACACTTACACAACATTAGCTTTAGAGTATTCTTTTTTGTGTTTATGTTTCTCTTGTTTCCGCTACGAAGACTTGCAGGGATTGTGGGGCTAGCATTTCAACTTGTCCTATATGTCGACAGCCCATACCAACACGCCTGAGATTGTTCACCTGAGCTGAATTCTACCTCCTGCACGTTGTTTACTTTAGAGAGTGGCAAGCTCGCACTACAGGGTGGGATCAGTTGGCAGAGCAATGTACCATTAGTAGTTCATTAGATTTATAACGGCATTTTGTGTGAAATTTTTCTGTAAAATGGCCTTTGACATAAAAATTAATACACAATTTATACGCTAGTGGGTTTTTTTTTTTTCCTTCTTTGTAACTTTTCTTTTCTTAATCAATTCGTTACGATACGTATGTAACTAATCCTCAAATTTTATCATCATGGTTAATCTGCTCATTTGGCACTGGCTTTGGACTGAGCTTGAATTGAAAAGGCTAAATTGCTAGAGGTTAAGTTGAAGTGTGTCTCTTTAATGATAAACAACATTCAAATAATAATAGTGCAGAAATTCACAACTTTTAAGTTCTGAAATTCCAAGTAGAGCAGCAAAAGGTGCAGCCAGCACAAATGTACCAATATATTAAACCACAGCAAACTGAACCAGTAGATCAAAAAAGTTATAGATGCAAAATTGTTAAAGGAAGTCCAAACAAAGTAATTTTTCCAGGATTCAAAATAACTATGTAAAGCAGATTGAAGGAATTGAAGTAGCCGATAATTAAGCACCTGACGACGGCGAAGAACCTCAAAAACAGCTGCCTAAATAGAGCGGCGAAAGCGAAACGTACATAAAGAGGAAATCATCTGCTATAAACCCTCTAAAAACAGCACCCACTACCAAGACATGGGCCTTGAAGAGAACACATCCTTCAACCAGCTCCAGCTTCCACCTGCTAAAATCAAACATACTTCAATTAGGAACCTCATGAGTCATGGTGAACTAGCTAGCGAACATATGAACGACAAAAGGAAAAACTAATATAAGAATGTTCTGTGCCAAGATTTCAGAACCTTTATATTTCACTTGATTAGATTGTAGAGGCACGGCAAATCCTGTCGTCGTTTATTCGTGAACTTGACTGCTCAAAGCCTACCGTCTCGTGCGTTATAAAAACCGACATCTTCTTTCTCCCAAGTAATCGGGATGTCTTCATCTCGAAATTCGAGACCGGGAACCGTCAGGCAAACTTCCTTCACATAAATATTCGCTGATGTAGATACGGTATTCTCTAACCCATTCATTATTCTCATAATCTTTTAGCATCCATATAGTTCTGGACGACTTCGATTCTGAAAAAAAAAAAAAAGGGCATAAGAGTCCCTTCAACTCTACCAGCAACATTGTTTCTTCAGTTTCTAAAGCACTCTCTTCCGGAATCTAATGAGGCTGTTGATCCTTGGTAGAATAAATGGATGAATGAGTTTTTTTCTTGACTGAAAGTATGACAATGGAGTGTTCTGGTGTCGTGATCTTGATAATTACTGCAAAACAAAGTGCTCACCTTGGATTTAAAAGGACCTTTGGATGGTTAAATTAACCTACGAAAAGAGGCGAATATAATCTTAACATCTTTAGCTGTGTACTAGTTTTTCACTCATTGTACGCTACATATGAAAACAACATATAAAATTATTTTAATTTGAAGATTTACGTTATATGATGAATTTATCAAAATATAATAATTATTTTTTATTAAAAATTTATATTTGACTAATTATTCGTTATATTTTTAAAAAAAATACAAAAAAAAAACATGATTTATTCTTATTTATTGGATTCTTAACTAAAAACTTGTGATAATCTAAAATTAAAATCTAAAACTCCATGGATTTATATCTAAAAATTTATTTTATACATTATTTTTTTCAAAAAACCTAATACAAATTCTCTAAAAATATTTTTAATATATATATATATATATGCTATTATCATTTAAAAATTCTAAGAGTCCATCACATAAATTATATAAATTTTTTTAATAATCATGTTGTAAAATTTTATTTAAAAATCTATACATAAAGAACAATAAATCATGTTTATCAATAAATAATATTTAAACAAAATAAAAATTAATTTGATGAAAATCTTAATAAGAAATGGCAATTTGAAGAAATAATTTTAAACAATAATAGTAATCTAAAATATATGTTTATTTTAAAATATAAAAAATATCATATAGATATATTTATTTCAAGCGAGTAAAAGTGAATATAGTGATAGATATATTTATTTCATGTAGTATATGTAAATATAGTGACAAATAAATTATAAATCAATCCTTTTTTATTTGAGAAATGAATTAATTAATCCTTTTGATTTCAAAAAATAATTATTTAATCTTTTTAACTGAGACTAATTTATTTTTTATTTTAAAAAATGTATTATTTTCTCATCATATATTTTTATCTATTTTTTATTTTTTAAAACAAAAAGTCTAAAAAAAAATAGCAAGAATGATAAAAAATAGTTTTTGAAATCAAATGGACTAATTAATTCACTTCCCCATGAAAGAGGGACTAATTTATAATTCACTATTGAAGCTCCTCTCCTCTCATGAAAATGAGGAGAAAAAAATGACAATCAAAGGAGCATTAAATGCTTCATCAATAAAAAAAAATGACCAAAAAAGATTAAAAGAGAAATTAAAAAAAGAGCAAGTGAAGAGCAGATGTTGATTTTCATAAATTCACTAAGTGACAACGAAGGTAATTAAAAACAAAAAAAAAAAAATCATTTATAATGTAAAGAAAAAAAGAAGAAGGGAAATGACAAAAAAAAAAAAAAAAAAAAAACTAAGGAAGAAAATTAAAAAAGAAATCAGTCAAGGCTAAATATGAATTTTTATAAATCCACTTAGTGATAATAAAAATAATTTAAGATAAAGAAAAAACCTTTTATAACACAAAAAGAGAAAAAAAAAATCAATCTATAATAAAATAAGAATGGATGAACAATCTAACAATAGTGAAATCTCCACGTCTTTTAATATTTTTTGTAATATCTCGTGTATGAGGCCTTAATAGGCTTACGGGGAGTATTATTCTATATGAGATAGAGAAGATATACTTGATTGGTGTTTTTGTGGTCCCTTGACTTAGCTATGTAATGGGTCTCCGCTTTTATAGTGATTGCTAGATCTTGATTGCATGGAGATTGAGGGTATATCCATCCTTTTCATACAAATATTTGGTATTATTTTTATTGTGTAACCGCTACTGATAGGTATAGTGATCTCGCAGGAGAATGTAAAACGTGTTCTTAGAATATGATGTCTTTTATTTAATACTTGTCCCATCAGGTTTTTATTTTTTATTTTTTTTCTGTGGCATCTAAGATTTGAAGAAGTATAGAAAAACCTGATTTAGGAGCTTTTCGTCGTATGGGACGATGTGTAGTTACACTCGTTAGTAGAAGGGATCTCATTACTCTGGTCAGATGAAATACAAGGGTTGAGTATATTTTTTTCAAGTAAGCTAGATTTCAAAGGTGTTAATGCTTTAGTTTTAGCATGAAGCTTGAAAATCACTTTCTTTGAAACAACTAAGAATCCTATCCAGTGAAATATATTATTGATCAATATTCCTGGTTTCACCGCTGGAAAATCGATAGTCTTTCTAAAACATTTCAAGATCCAGAATGGTATGATCCACCATCAGGTACGGTAAATATCTCACTTTTAATATTATAAATTGAATGGTCTCAACAACAATTTTCTGATGACTTTTTGCATGAAAAATAAAACTATTTAATAAATAATAGTAATACAAATAAAATGGAACTCGTGATTTATTCAACTACATTCCTAGATTATTGTCCCTTGTTAACTCACTAGGAACACAAAATTTCAATTTTTTTTTTTCAATTAAACCAATGTTCTCTTAAATTCAATTAAAGAATCATCATATTGATTCCATTAAGGTAATTATTTCTGTCTTTAATTTTTTTTTAATTATTACTCATCATTTTGCTTTAATGTAGTCGTATCTTTTATTAGACACTCAGGACAAGAATATATACATTGAACACTCTCAATATACGAAAATAGGGAAGAAATTAAGTTTGAAAAAAACCGATGGAGCACATCATAGATAGATAGAAACACATGTTGGACATGCATGCACCGTGTCAGATTAAATATGAATCGTTGAGTCGATACAATATAGGTTTTGTGAGTATATATGTCTGTGCGTGAGTTTACCAACTATATATATTGCAAAATCAAATGGAACCGATCTCGCTCCACTGTGGCCGCCCCGTTGATCTCTAATAAAGAAAGATGAATCTTCACTTTGTTCTTGATCACGACAGTATCGTCGTTCCTCAAACGTTGTTTCTCCTACTTCACAAAGGCACAAGGGTATTTACTAAGCCAATAGTTATCTCAACCTTTTCTCTGTCATCGCCAGATTTTTCATCGCTACAATAGATGTAACCAGATAGAAACAGCTTCGTGGATTCTAAGGATTTGGTATGGTGCAAGTTCACAAAATATGGATTGGACATACAGTTGAAGCATTGTTCAGAGACACATTTGAACCTGGAGAGACTCTTAATTTACAGTTAGTCCTGACAGGATGTTAAGGATGAGATCTTGCGGTAGATTACCTGCCATCCTTTTCTTTGCCTATATAGCCTAGCAATCAGTTTTAAGCTTTTTCCTGCCTTTTTCTTCTCTATATATATAGAAGAAAAAGGCAGGAAAAAAGGCTTAAAACTCTAGAAGTGATTTGGTTTTAATGATTGTCAGCTTAGTACTTTCTGGTTTACGACACCAGTTTAGTTAGGAAGTAAAATTGCTACCACTTGAGGGACATGTAAATTTAGATATCAAAGTTCGATTCCAATAATGGCTTTTGTGCTAATCAAAGGTAATTAGTTGGAAAATAACTGTGGATGTCGTAATTCTCACACTATACAAGAATCAAGCATAGTTTGTGTTTTTCTTTTTTCTTTTTTTCTTTTTTCAATTTAGACTTTTTTATTTTTATTTTGCACATTAATTTCTTAATTAAACCTCAATGGATGGATGTTCATCATTTGACATCAAATTTAACACAAATATACAGAATTTTCAGGGAAAAAAAAACAACGTAAATTAAAATTCAGTTTGTTGATCTCTCACTTCTAAAAAAATTTAACTAACAAGTTGACCGTGAGAAAATATCTGGATAACTTATAGCAGGATCTCGAAAAATCAAGTACTTTATATTGGGCCAGCCTAGGAGAACAACATACTGTTTCTATTCATGAAAAATTAAGTGATATGTATTTAAAGTAACGTGGTTCAAGAGGAAAATAATGGTTGCGGGTCTTGCATGGCGGTGAAGAGACCTGATAGCTTTGTAAACAAACATTTAATATGAATACGAACAGTTTCAATTACCTAATCGATGATGATTTTGATGAGTATAATCCTACAGATTTGTTCAACCTAGTCCTTCCTTCCCAACTTTAGGAGACTATTTTCTTGGCAGGCTCATCATGTTAGCTTAGAGGTAAATTTAGATCCAAAAATAAAAATGCCAGCACAAATGACCAAATGGTAAGTAAGCAAAAAGATCCTGTACAGGTTTCTACTCAAGTGGCAAGAGCTAAACATATAACATGTCCAGCACATTCATGGATGGATAACAGGCCTCTCTAACTCATCTTCTATAGTCAGACTGTGTCCTTGCACCGTAGGACCAGTATTACTATCTCCAATCCTACCCTACCAAGGATCCCCAAGTGCTACATATTACATAACAGTTTACACAGGCTTTCTCTGCCATACAAAAGGGATAGACATTTGAACTTTCTGGGAACTAGAAGAATATACACGTATTTTGAGGGATAGACATTTATCAGCGTTGTTCACACCTCTAATTTGTTGATAATGTACACTAAAACATTCGAGTTTCACCACTGAATCCAAGAACTTGTCTGAGAGCGAGGGAGATGACAAAGGCTAATCAGACTATCCAAAAATATACATATCTTACTTCAACTCTTCGTTAGTGTAAACATAATTACAGAAATGGGGAACAGGTTCCCTTTTTTTCATCGAGATTAATAGAAACTAGACTACAAAGGCCGTGTGTGTCATACTCGATTAAACCTCCCAACCATCACTTGCATCTTTCACTTGTATCCACCCAATTCGAACCTCAACATACTCAAGTCAAGTGCTTCATGGTGAACAGAATCGGTAACAGCTTGTCTGGTACACCACATTTAAGTGTTTCCACCTCTAATTTTTTTCACGAGTGGAAAACCAAGTCGCCAATCCATTTGGTCCCTGAACTTCAGAAAACACCTTTGAGAAACGAAGTTTGCATTTTCCTTGTTAAGTTGAGAAATATTCACGGCATATCTATGAATCGTTGGCATTATCTGCTTTTGTTAGCAGAATAAAACAAGGTAGCAAAATTGCATTGCTTAGGAGAACAAGAAAAGGTTGGCTGAATAAGGTACTGACCTTCAGAATATTAGAAGCTCCATCGATCTAATTGCCTCTTGGCTTCAGCCATGTCTTTCTGTGCCTTTTTCCTCCGATAAAATATGGGACAATCCCGACTGGGTCCAAAAGGGAAAATTACTTAGAACTAGAATAATGAACAAATACACAAAAAATGGAACTGAAATTAGGAAAGAGAGTATACATTAAGCTATTACTATAATCCTCTATTCTTTTCTTCTTTCTTTCTTTAAAAAAAAAAATCCTGAAGATTGAAATGAGAACCAACTTGCGACAAGGCGACTCAGCTAAAAGTTAAAACTACATAATGGTTTTAGAAAGTGAGATGAGAAACCTTGTGCAAAGGACATCCTGGTGAAGAGAGCCTTGGCACTCTTGGCACTGTGTCCACAGCCTCCCAAAAAGCTGCTCTAGCTCAGACACTGCAACCAATCCATATTCTCAATTAACAATTTGCTCCATCAATGTACACAAAGATTCATCTCATTCAAAATTAAAAAGAATTCAAAAGAGATGCTTGCCTTGAGAAACTGATTTGCAGTACAGCTCTGCTTCTCTCCCTTTGCAGTTTGAGCAGACAGTTCGATCTGAATTTCTGGTCAGTAACACAATTAATTGCATTAGGATTTTCATAGAATCACAATCCAATTATCAGTGACAGCTAAAAAGGCAGGCATAGGAGAAAATTCTTAACAAGAAGAGGAAAGGGAGATGATAGGTGTCATTTACATTCACTAGGGGACTTGAATTGTGAAGGCACTCATGAAGAAACAAAAATGCCTTCGATAGAAAAGTAAAAATGCATTAATGCTACTCTGATAAGAAGATTGTAGGTATGAATGATGTGTGTAAAAAGAGAAACAGAGAATGTAGATTGTCAATTTCCATGTTACAGATAAGTGGTTTAAGTACCAGAGTGATGGAGTAACAAATCATTTAAGGAACCATTTAATTTGATAAATCATATAAAAAAAAAAACATCAAATATGCCTTTCTCCCCCAAGCTTAAAAAACAGAACTCCTTGAGTCCCTTGAATCAGTAACATCTGGAAAACAAATAATGGACTCCCCCAAATACTTCGGTCAAACGCAAGTTGGTTTATATAAATCTTTTAGTGCCTGGTCCAGAAGGAAGTCATGTGGAGCACCCAAGGCTCACTGTAGTGACTAGTAGGTACCCCAGGGCCACCCATAACAGGAGATCAAGAAGACACATCAACCATGAAATTTATGGCAATAGTGTATGCCTTTTGGAGACATGAGGCAGCCAGGAAGTTATTATACTTTTATACTCATCTGTCTAAGGAATTGAGATTAATGGAGGTTCGGTTTTATTGGGATTGGGAATGGAATGGTTATCATTTTCTATTCTCTGTCAGATTTTGTTCAGGTCATCATTCAAAAATCAGAATTCCAGAAGAGATGAGACATTTTATATCAAATGAGATAAGCTATCCTTTTTTTTCATAGTAACAAAACTCTATTAAAGATGAGGGAGATGCAGCTCTTTCTCGTAAGGTAAAGTAAGGTCTTCCGTTTGCTTCCTTGGCTTGGCTGTTGGATTAGGTGGGAGTAGAGGCCTTCATAGCAGAAATATTACTAGCAGAAATAGTTTGAAATAAATTAAGGAATAATATTATTTAGAATAGAATCAGAATACGATTCCCAATCCATTCCTAATTCCCAAGGAAACCAAACATGGCTAATGGAACTTCCCAAAGTGATCAGATAGAACTCCAATTGTTATATGTTTGTAATCAACCTAGACATTCCACTGCCCTATCCTTAATCTCAGTTCCCAACTATCGTCCTGCAGTCTTCACAAAATCAGGCTGACACCCACAAAAAGGCCACCAACATGTGTAGTTGCCTCTGCTAAGTTTAAAATGAAAACCTAATTTGGCTCCCAACGCTAGAAGTGGCTTCAAACCCTACCCTCAACATGATAAAAAAGTTCTCTACTAAGAACATAATGGAAGTCAAAACTGGATTCATGTTTTTTTATGAAATTATGTCATCAAGAAGAGTTCTCAACTCTTTCTACGCATCTAAAGACACTTGAAGAGTTCTTATCATCTGCACAAGTTAACTTGTGCAGAAGAGATAGGAGGAAATAACTAACTGAAAAGAAATAGGAAATGCAAACAGAAAAGCAATTCAGATGTACCTAAGAAGGGTTTTGCAGCCAATGCACGTGAGCTGTTTCTTAGCATATTTCGCAATACCACCGGTTGAAGGAGTAGATATAGAAATAGATCTTGTGTGACTTCCCTGGAGGAGCTCCTTGCTGGCATTCTTCAGAATGGGCTCAAAAATTCTTAAAAGTGGCTGCAAAGCGAACCCAGTATGTTAACACATAATAAAAAACAGAAAACAAAAACAAAATTTGACTTTAGACTGCCATAAACTAATCTAACCTTGCTAATTTGGTTTTCCAGATAGTATTGGGGGTCTATTGGTATGTTATTTTCTAGCACAAATATGGGATCCTCTGATTTCTCAAAAGCCTGATCATCAACAGCAGATTAAACTTCATAAAACAGAAAAGTACTACGAATTTTTTTCCAAAGCAAAAAAAAAAAAAAAAAAAAGGATAATACAAAGCCACCAGAACAATTACCTTGGCACCTTTTATAGCTTTTATAATGACATAAGGCACTCGATCCCCTACATTTGGAGCAGTGGCAGCATCTCTCTATCAAATCACAAACAACATTATGACACAAACAGTTAAATACAGATAGAACATTTAATTCAAAAAAAATTCAAGAATTCAAATCTATTTTCCTTTCTAAGGACAAGGATTTGCAATAAGTACTAAATGCAGACAGGACATGGGACACTACAGTAAGTTAGTAACCAAATCTTTTTAGGTATTCATTCATATTTAATAAGTGCAGATTCAATTTGAACAAATACTGGATGTCCAAATTTTGGTACCAGATGGGATTAGAAAAATTGGCCAAATTCTGGAAAATTTGAACTCAAAATAAGGAAGTAGACCAGTAAAAAGTTCAATACTCCCAAAAAGTTGGCTACTCAAATTTTAGGTTTGGATTGAACATCCAATTCATAGTAAATTCACAACCTGAACCTCATGGATAGAAGAAATTATTCCCAAAATCATTTTGAAAAAACGTTTATGCCAGAAATTAGTTTAGAAAATACACTTGATGCAACAATTTTATAACTGTGTATCTTCTGCAATTTTTCCAAAACTACATAAGAAAAAGTGCCAGCTGCATCGATAAACAATCTGAGGATGAAGAAGTAATGGAATCGTTAAAGCACCTTGCGCATGCGTTCAGCAAGTTCAACATGAGCTGCCTTTACTTCATAATCATCTCCTGTCTTTGTCAAACCCTGTTAAGGTAAATACTTTAGTACGGATATAGATGTTGATCTTTGACGAAAAGAATTCTTACACACACTTAAAGGCAGCAATAAAATCAAAAACCAAAAGATTGCACTATAACACCAAAACAATTTCCCACCTTAGTAATAACCAGAAGTGACAAATCCATGCGATTCATGAGAAGATCAGAAATGGTATTCTTTACAAATTGAACTGCACCAGGCACATCTCTTTCGATTAATATCTTGTGAAGACACTCAGTTACCAGATTTTTTACCAATAGACAGTTGTCCCTTCGAACTGTTTCAATGCCTGTCCATGACACATGACAAATTAAGAGAAACATTCTAAACACATCAAAAGCTTAAATGTTGGGAAGTTCCAATATTCACCTTTGGTATCCATTTTGTCATATTTGTCCGGATTTGTCCAGAATAAACCAGCATATCGCTTCTTGCTAATCAACAGATATGGATAATAAACCTTCTCAAACTCTAGCTTGATGGGCTTCACAACGCAAAGATCCAATACATAAACAAAATGAAAATTACAAAAGTAACTCAATGTAAAAAAGTTCAAACAAAAGCTCAGAAAAAATCAAGTTATGAGTTGATTGGGGCCAAAAAAAAAAAAACATTAAAGTTTTCACAACATACCATCTAAAATAGCAATTAAGGCACTTCAACATTACAAGTGTATTAGGGAAATCAAAATGCCAACAAAATAGAAATAGCTAAGAATAATAATCACAAACCCTAGTTGATACAAAATATTTTAAACTGGAAATTCACTAGATAATCACAAGCACTGAAATCAATAAATTACAAAGAAATAGATAATAACCCTACTCTTTGCACCAAGTCACTATGAACATCATACAACTTACTTTCATGAAAGTTTTGCTAATATACTCAGCAGCTTCACGCCCTAACTTCATTGCTGTTTCTACAGTAGGAACGCCAAATTGCACCATAACTGAATCAGTGTCACCATAAATAACCTGAAATTATTACCCTGATCGGATCAGGCTATTACAATAACAAGTTACAACTAAGGCTCTGAACCCAAATTGAGGCTTAAGAATGCATGCATATAAATCCCTAATGGTATCAAAGCTTAAACCAGATGCCAGAAGCTTTAGTATACCAAAGGTCATGGGCAGCATACAGAAATGCTCCAAAAGAATAGGAAAAGAAAGAAGGAAGACCAAATATCAACACCTTAAATTGCAGTAACAACCAGATGCAATTAAGATTTAATCAACCGCGTAAATGTTTAGTATGTCATTGCCCACCACTCTATTGGCTTTCAAAGACACCAAGGTAGTATTCCTTTCACTCTAGAGGTAGTATAGATCAACTATAGAGAGCGGATAAGTCTCAAGCCATGCACCTAGTAAGCTGTTCGTTATTAAAAGCTTCAAGGACTTTGAGAGAGCAAATCCATACACGTGCATGTATATACAGGTTAAGCTATTCATTTTTTTCCCCCCATCAAAAGAACTGATATAAGGTAAGCGTTGACCAAATGAGTGATGCATATAAATCTGAGATAAATCTCTCTACTTATTGCAAGCCAGTCCATATCTGGCCCGCCATTGTCTAACATAGTTTATCACATTACATGCTGAAATTTGTGAAGGCATACCTCTGCATTGTGTTCATAGCCACCTAGTATGGTAAACTTGTCTTCCACAATTTTTTTTGTGTGTTCAATCATCTGTCGACCTTCAAAAAGCAAACAACTTGTTAGACTGACCAGAACTAGTAAGGAATATGCTAATTTTTTTATCCAGAAAAACAAATATACATGTATATAAATATATAATTTGAAAACATAGTTTGTAAGAATACCATAGCTTGTAACACTTGAGGATATTTCTAGACATGGCAATTGGCCAATTGTAGCTCCCGTGAACCCATAAACAGAATTTGCACTAATCTGAAAGAGGAAAAGATGTCAAAAACTTCAAATTAATTGAAAATGGAATCAACAATGGAAGGTGCCAATCATCTGCTTAATTTGTGCTTTATAAATTTACCTTCAATGCCAGCTGGCGACCATCTAGAACAGCCTTCTCAAATGGATCATTTGCTTCCTAAAATCATAAATATTGAAATAAGACATAAAAGCATAGATACATAGTAGAGTTGAAAAATTGGAACTGTTATTGAATTAAAAAGATTTAGTCAAAACTTCTAACTGCAAGCCAACACAATTGAAAAGATGATTACCTTCAAATCTGCTTTTGCTCTTTTACGAGCAGTTAATAGTTCTTCAAGAATTTCAGGCAGAATCCCCTGAAAGAATAATTGTTAAACATCATCATCAATAACAAATTTGGATTTTCTCCAATGTCACTCATGTTTTTATGAGAAAACAAAAGACAGCAACGGCAATAATTCCTGTTTAAATAACAAGTACCTTCTGCAAATCTGACTTCACAAATGTTTCGCCTGATGGAGTTTTATTGACACATTCAGGAGGGAGGTTCAGTTTGCGAACATCTTCAGGAGTTACCTTCTCAAAAACCAATAAAGATTAGGAAAAAAAAATGCCAGAAAGCTTGTCATTTCATATCAAATTTTGAAGTTCAACATTTAAAGAAAACAGCTATGGCAGAAAATGGAAAAAGGTGGAAATGTTCACCAAAGTGCAGTAACATAGATTGTATGCCATCATTATTGATGGATACAGAGATGCAAAATCCAGTGTTGCAATTGGCTTTTCATAGAATCCTGCTTTTGGCTCCAAAACCTGTTTTTATAACATCCAAAACATTAGCAGAGATATTTAAATTCCAAAGGAAGTAAATCACAACAGTTGGAATACAATACGTATACAAAGAACTTAATCTTGTCAAGTTAATCTTTCAAAGTGGATAGTCATTCTTACAACATCAAAAATTTCAGACCTAAAATAGAATCAGCAGGAACCATAAACTCCAGAGAAACACCCAACAAATATTTCTTCAGACTTAAGACAGTTACCCACCAGTATACCATCAGCTTATGATTAGAATACTAACATATTGGAAATATCAATTAAATTATATCAGGCAAAACTTCAAAACAGAACCATAGCCTACCATGATTCATATTAGCTACAGGCATAACAAAGTTTTTAAGTCAATTAGACAATAAATAGGGAAGTGATATAAAGAAATCACACAGGACTTTCAGGCCCATAATTCATTATGAACTGAAATTTTGTTCAAATATAGTATTTATTCTCCTTCAAACAAGCACTTTTAGTAAATAAAAAGTAACCTATTCAATTAGCTCTCAATCCTGCCATGAACAGAAAGGGACTGAAAAAGGGGGAAGAGAAAAATGCATATCCACAGATGCGCATGCAAGGACACTCCAAAGACAAGGAAGCCAAGAGGATGCCAAGAAGAATACTAAACAAGTTGAAATCACAACTTCAATTATGATAAATTTTTAGTTTCATTTGGCCAGAAAATTTATATTAAGCTTTCCACTTTCACACAGTTGAGGTCCTCCAGGGTCATTTAAATTCATAGCAATACAAGTGAACAGCAGATAAAGCCCAAGGTAAAAAGCAAATAAATAAACAAGGTAATGCAAATGTTTTGACTCACAGTTGCACCTTCATATGTTCCTTGTTCAGATCCTGCCTGCTTGACATTCGGAATAACTAGGTTCTTTTCCTTGGCCTTCCTCAACAGTTGAGAAAGCACCTGAAAACAATAGGTCAAAATCAGCCAGATCAATTCTGAGTAATAACCTTAATATAATCTGACTAACCTCAGCGGCAGCAAAGGTGATTTTAGTTTGGAGAGGGAGGTAGGAATAAACAGAGCTATAGCTCAACCAAACTACATTGTACACATGCCTATATATGCTTAGTGAGTGTTTGAAAGAGGTCTTTCCTAACTTCTTAATCAAAACCAAAATTATTATTCAATGAGCAATGATCAAATTGCAGTAAGGTAAGCACGAAAAGAGGGCCTGTCTCTCTTCACTTGCTTCAAAGTTCCTGTAGTCCATTCATTTGCAATTTTCAGAACAGTGGACTTTGATCTAGATGTGTATGAAAAAGAGAACCTCAGAATGGGACTTTCCACTACAAAAGCCAAACATGAAGATCTTTTATTTAATAAAAGTTTTGAATCTCTCATGAATCTCTTTTCTTTTTGTTAAACAATTAAATATTCAATAACAAACTCATCCTCCATCTAAGATCCTAAATTCACAAGTCACATTGCTACAAATGATCATTATATAGTTGTTCTAAAAACTAAAATGTTTAAGATAACATGAATTCACTTGCCAATCAAATCATAGTTCCATGCTACTAATAACATCCATCACTCCTAACATATTGCAACTGAAATTTCACTTGATCTTTTTCTCCTTCTGACTTCTTGACGATAAAACTTCTAGACAAGTTACGTATTTCATCAATTCTAAGCAAGTTGTAACCATGATAATGATTACAAACGCATATTAGATATTGAAAGTCTATTATGATTGTAAATATGCATATTATTGAAATTTTGCAATTGAATTTCTTCTCTTTCATTTTAACAGCCAGCGACAATATTTATTTTCAATTCCAAAAATTGCAAATTAACTTATAAATATTACATCATAGAAAAAAAATTTCAACATAGCACTGTCCTGGTCTAACCTTGATGCTTTGTCCCCTGGAAAGAAGAAAAGAGAGAGGGACACCAGTTACACGGGCCATTTCCACATAGTTGTAAATGAACATCAGTTTGTCCAAGAGTCGCTGTGGGAGATACGCATCCTGCAATTCCAACAAGAAGATGTTGGTTATGCAACAAATGGTTTTTTCACTTCAAACATGCATAATGTACTAGTCAAGAAAACCACCAAAGTTGGAATTGCAGAATGCTGCTGCAAAAACAGTTTCGTAAAGTTTACACTGCTCCCAATGATGAAATGCTTTTAGACAATAACAGAACTTGGAATAGTTCCATTGGGCCTCATGTTGGCCAAGAAGCAAAGAGCTTGTGCAAGCAGGAGGAATGATATCCTAATTTCACTTTTAGTGACTCTATTTGAATCTAGGATTTACAGGAGAAAGAATTGCTTTTTATAATGAATGACATTTATTTCATTGGAAGACAAAAGGACACCTAACAATATACCCGTTCATAACTGAAATTTAAAATATCAGCAACTCACTAAATCTAAAAGAAGATCAAGCTTCATCCTAAATGGTTGAGAGGCGAAGTCCACAAGTTGATTTAAGTTGTAGTATTTATGAAGGACAAGAAAAAAAGTGTTCTGCTGCCAGTTGATAAAATTTATCCATTCAGAAGGTTTTGTTATTAAGGTTCACCAACTCCTCGACTACAGTTAATTTCTAATATGAATGGTTGTAGTGCATTTATGAAGGACAAGAAAAAAAGTGTCCTTGTGCCAGTTGATGAAATTTATCTATTCAGATGGTTTTGTTATTAAGGTTCACCAACTCATCGACTACAGGTAATTTCTAATATGAATGGTTGTAGTGTAGAACAACGAAAAACTCAAATTTTGAAATCCATCATTCAACTGCAATATGACATCCTCTGAATCCATTTTTCAATCACTCAGCATTTGATACAAGCATTTCAAAAAGGTAAATGTAATTAATAATGAAGCTAATGTGGCTAATATGCAAGACATTCCAGGTAGAGAAAAGAGAAGCCTAGGAAAACAAAAGATGGGAAGGAAGAAGCTATCAAACCAAAACCATCTACCTTCAAACAATATACAGCAAGCCGCCTCCTAGTTTCTGCATTCCCATTTTGCAGATCGGATATTATTGAATGGTGAACATCCTCTTTCTGCATGAGACAAAATGGTATCAGCAACTTCAACCCAGATGTAAATTATTAATTCAAAAGAGAACCAACAAGAAAAGGTGTAACAGAAAGGGTCAAATGGATAATGCCTCAAAGGAGATGTACCCTGACACCATGTATAGACTCGGAAAAAATATAAAACAAGATAAAATAGTTGACGAGTATGCAATATGGTTCAATGAGTTTCTTTAAACATAAGAAGCTGCTAAATACCAAGATTAGGAAAAAATACTTAAAAATAGCAAATGGGAAAAGATCAGAAGACCTGGCTTTATTCAAAAGATGGAAAGAGAAGTGATTTTCAAAAAGATTATTCCTGTATATACGTTGATAATCAATACAAAAGATTGATAAACAAGACAAATAAGTCATAAGGAAATCCATATCAAACCAATATCAAGACAGATTGACAACCAAGACAAGTTCTCTTGAGCTATATCAAAATGATATCTTAAGAACTTTACCTGCTCCGAAAGAAAGTGCGCTGAAACAGAATTTAATGAATAAGAACTTAGTTTATAATCTCGTTGCACAGCCTGGAAAAATGAAAAACAAACATAATTAATAAAGTGGGAAAAAATGCATGAACTTCTCTAGTACACAAGCAAGGAAATGGTGGATGAAGGAAATACACTATACAGACAAGACCTGAAGCAAATCAAATTGAACTCTGCCCTCCAATGTAATGTCTTTACTTTCCCTTGTTCCATACTGCCTGTAATACCATGTATCAGCACGCCAATCTTTTCATGTGGCTTAAAATATAAGGACAGAGAGTGTCAAGCAACTATAAGACAGAAACTATATAAATTGATAATGCCTGTTTTCCTTCAAATTTTTCAGGCATCAGTGACCCAATGCCATCAGAAATTACAATCCATGAAAAAAGTTAGAAGCATATATGGGATACACATTTTTCTATCTCTTCTATGCTGAATATACAGAGAAATTATTTACCCTTGCTACTTCTACACACTACTTAAACATCAAGGTGCTACATTGGAATTTGAAGTTAGCAAGTGAGGACAAGGGTCTCAACATAAAAGATTAACTCAGCCAATTTTTCAAGAACAACGAAAAGGCATTTCTATTTTCAAAGATTAGTAGTCCCCTGATACTAATTTTGTTACTGGAGTTACCTTTAAATATTCTTTTCAGTTAGATTTAAGAAGTCATACTGTCTGTGGTTATCACTCCAATCAATTAACCAACTCACATAATTTGACTTGATGAACACATAAGAGAGATAGAATTTAGCACACAAATTGTAGAAATGCAATGATTATTATAGTGAATGTTACCTTGATGAAAATGTTGCGTCTTTGATCCTAGCCCTGCTGTTCCTGATGCGACCCAAGAGAGGAAATTCTGTTATTCCCAAGGTTGCAGCTCTCTATAGATCAGAAAAACAACATAACAGATTCAGACAACCGTATATGTTTTAGCCAACATAAACTTTAGCATTTCTAACCACAAAAAAAAAAAAAAAAAAAAAAGCACAAAGAATATCTTGACTATGATAGAAATAAAAAAACCTCCTCCTGCCATGAAAGTATGCAAAAAGAGTACAGGGAACATCTAAAATACCTCGATGAGATATGGCAGATCAAATTTGCAGATATTATACCCAATTATAATATCTGGGTCCACTTCACGGACAAAATCCTGCAAACAAAACCAGCTTTATTATCATAAATGCATTACCAAAGGATAATAAAACCATACTAATTAACTCCTCTTGAAGCAGATCTAATCAGGAAATTGCTATTGTACTAACAGCACTGTGCTGATATAGTACGGTATCACTGGCCATAAGATGGCTTAAGAATGGGAATGGATTGTCAAAGTGTTAACAACAGACAGAAAGCTAGCTAGATATGAAGGGCGGAATTACTACCTTCCAAGCTAGCAGGACTTCTCTCTCTGTATCAAAAGACATAACATCCACACCAACTATCGGAGAACATGAATTCAGGGTCATAACATTACGAACAAATGGCTGGTCCTTCCCCTGCAAAGTTACTAGATTGGCCACCTAGAAGGAAAGAATGATTTTACTTCAAAAACATTCGAAGAAAATAAATCATCCCACAACCAGATTGATTTACTGAAATATTTAATGAGACATCGCTAGAATAAACCTGAATAACAGGATCATGGGTTGGCTCGGGAAAATGACCTTTGCGGCCAGCACACTCTATATCAAAACTCAATATGCGAAATGGAGCCATTTTTGAGAATTCCCCTTCAGCAGCATGGCTGATCAATTCCGAATATCTGGGAGCAGCTATTAAGCAAATATTTTCATCTTGAGGAACACTAATACACGAAAAAAAAAAATCATTCAAAATTTGAAATATTCTGCAAAAGAGGATACAAGCAATCAAACTCCAACTGGCAATGGGATAAGTGCTTTGAAGTCCTTTTATATTTGCCAGCAGGCACTTCAATCCAATTTCCACCAACAATATTGCAGTCGATCATGAAACGGAGAGCATATAAGATATTGCTTTCATATGTCATGAAGCTCTTCATACCAAGTCCATCAATCTGTATGCCTTTGTCAAGAATACCTGCAAATAATGGGAAACTATAAAGACTCATATATCTCCAAATTAAACAAAATTGCTAAATGATCAATTATGCTGTTAACATATTGTGCACGAAAATTGAAGCAACCATTGTGAAAATGTTAAGATGTCTACCACGGCAGCCAGACACCATCGTTGGCAATGCAACTACAATCTTAAGAAAAGGATGAGATTGCTGCTGCTGGTAATACATAATGCTCCTTTTGTGCACCAATTCAATTCGTTGCACAAATTTGGGTACTTTATTATTCCTATTTGCCTCCCTCATCCTCCGCTGTACCATAAACAAAAAGGATAATTGAGTGAATCAAACCAACCAAAATCAAACAGAACATACATAATCCAATCAACTCATAAAACCAAAACCAAATACCTCGAGAATCTGATGAAAATGCGAGATATCATCTGGACCCATCCCAGGAGGACAGCTGATGTAGAAATATGGCTCAAATCCATGAACAAAGCAGCAAACACTATGTCCTGACAAAATCCCAAAATATCAAATTAATAATAATTCAAACAACCATAAGTTCACTTCAAACATTATTCTCATGCAGATCTAAATATTCAAAATTTCTCCCTTTTCCGCATAAATAAGCATAATGCACCTAAATCCCTTCTCTTAAAAATGCTTAACTGCAAGACTACGAAAAACTTACACATTATCATTATGGCCTCAGCTAAAGCACTCCAAAAGAATTAAATTTTATCATGGTTTTTAGAAACAATAAGCACAAAAAAAAATGAACTTTAAGTTACTTACCTTCTCTAGTAACCCCAAAAATTCTAAGAATGGCAGCAGGACCTGATCTATCAGGCGAAAGTTCTTTATGACTCTCTCCGATTATGTAATCAATCTCGAGTTGCTGAAATACTAAAGAAAATCACAACAACACAAACAAAACCCTAAAACCATCAAATTTTCAACAAATTAAAGAGCAAAACCCTAGTAATCAACTACAACAATTCACTCAACAATCAAGCACCAAAATCACTCACTAATACTCTGCGATTGCGACACGTAGCCATCTGATAACTTCGGTCGGGCCCATTTAGAGAGATGAGAAGTGAGGCCTTGTCGTTCTTCGCTGAGATTCTGTTCGTCTTCTGCAATGAGGGTTTCCTCAAGGAAGACATCTTCATCGAGGAATTCTTCGTCGACGGTGGGAGTGATAGCTTGGTGTTTCGCAGCCGGCGAAGGGTGCGGTGGTTGTGGCGTTGGCGGGGGACGTTTTCTTGTGTTGCCGTTTCGGTTCATGGTGTCGTCGTTTTGGGGTTTGAGGGTTTAGAATGAGATTGAAATAGGAGGGATTCTGATATGGGATTCCCGCCAGTTTTGGACTAGGGGTTTTAATAAAGGATAGCACGTGCAAGACACGTGAATCTGGCTAAACTATAGTTTCACCTATATAGATTCATCAATGTTACAGTTTTATCCTCTTTGATTTAAAAGTTTCAAATTACCCTTACAGTTTTTATGAAGTTTCCGTTTTGCCCATCACCATAAATAACAAAATATGTTACCCTCGCGTCATGATAAATCTTAATGTAAGGACTGAATGAACCTTTTTTAAATAAAGGGCTCAAATTGAACATTTTTTAATAATGCCTAAGAATTATTGTCGCTTTCCAGACCAAGCATTTGTGAGGTCCCATATCTCACATCGAAAGAGTATGAAAATTTCAAATTAAATAAAAAGAATTATTAATTGATGTATACATAACAAAGAGTTTTTTTCTTTTTAATAGAAAAGACAATAAAACTCTATTCAATATTACACTTTTAGATTAAAAGACTGTAATTGCATTTTTACATGTTTTTTCAAGATAGCATCATACATCATTATAAAATAAAATAAAAACTACAAATAAATTTTTAGATCTCTATAATCGCATTAGATGTAAAAATAAGTAATTTTACTTTAATTTTACATGAAACACAATTTAAATCAATCATCCTTCTCGTTTTTAACTTGTCTTACTTTGGTGGACAACCTATCATAGTTAACTAGCACATAAAGTTGCATCTAGGATGCAAAAAGTCACCTTATAACTTTAAACTAGTCGATTCTAACACATTGCACCTTAGTAAGGTCCAAAAAAAACTTATTCTAAACTAAAATTTCATTATTTATAAGCTCTAAACTACTTTTGTCTTCACCGGATGACGGATGGAATGAAACATGTCCATGTATAACCGATGAGTTGAAGTAGTTAAACAACATCATGCATAAACAACAACTTGTATATAAAGCATCTATTGATTTGAGCTAGCATCCATGAGGCCAACTCCAATCATTATTAGGAATCATATAGAAATCTTTGCACGGTGAACAAATTAGACTAGATCCATAGATAATTTTAATCTTAAAAGTTCTTACAAGGGAACCTTAAGGATGCCAATTATCCCATTAAAAAAAAAGTATTCATGCCATTTCCAACTACATACACCAAATGACTCCTCACTTTCTCTTTAAATTTTTTAATATTCTTCCACCTACCCCAACTTCAATCTCTTGGAATTTGAACATTCTTAAGTACTTTTGTTTCTCATACCGTGACGAGTTAATTACATGCGCTACACAATGGGTAGCTTGGTGTTGTTTGAAACGAGAGGTTAATGTTGCACAAAGTTTTTGTTAAGAGAAGCGAAACAACTAATTCAATTATTGTGTATGATGGGTTTTTCTATTATTTTTTTCAAGAAGAAGAATATTATAAACAATGATGCGCGATTGAGTTCAATTTTTTTCTATGATGTATGCTTTCATCTTTTACCATATTACCTTAGAATTATAAATATTAGAGAGGCAAACTGAAGGGTCAAAACATTGTCTAAAGGAATGCTCCATCATCCATGTAAATTTATGCCACCAAAGCACACATATTTGAGGTCACTCGCACATGGAAAGTCAAAAAGGAAAACATTGGTTAAGTTTTGTTTGGAAATAAACGAGGAGATCAAAGGTTGTGTAAAAAATGTTTCAAGGGGTGAGTTAATGGGAGATCTTATTAAACAGTTCATATATTCTTCATTAAAGTTTTTTGACATAAAAAGTATGGAACGAAAAATAATGTTTAAAATAATTTATAGGTTAATGGTGTTTTATACTTGTTTATTCGTCATTCTTGCTTATATAATATGTTATGAATGATGATTAAAAACGTGTGGAATCGAAGCTTTTTTTTACAACGGATATTTATAAAAAAATAAAATAAATAAAGTTTGACGTATGCTAGGAGTTTTTAGAGTAGTGCATAATTATGAATTATCAAACAACAAACATAGATAAATAATTTGATAATATTAACACATTTAAATAGATAGTACCACACGAAGTTACTTTTTCTAGCCGAACTAAACATAGATGTTTTAATTTAATAGTCCGCATTATGAGATTAGTCAACTAAAATATATTAAATTGAAAGTAAAAAATATCCATCTAATTTCATACTATTCTTTAAAATTTAAAACTTTATTTATTCTTCTTAATGTTTTTCATATTTTTTGTCATTAAAAAACTATTCATTCTTTGGTATGTATTCATTTTTAAATAGAAATCTAATGTAAATAGAAAATTTAATATATTTTTTAAAAAATGTCTTAATATTTTTTTCATAAGATTGCATAAATAAAGTATTGAAGTTATTCTCATAACATATGAGCTAAAACTTGTGTGGCATCAAAAAATGGCATTGCTTTGCACTTTGAACTACTATTTCATCACTCCTTAATCTTGACAATTGGTGGAGTAATGTCAATGTTGGTGTTGTTGAACATGTAAGATAAGAAAATCACTTTGAGTGGGGTGGGTATATAGCCGGGTATAGGGTAACATTATACTTAGAAAATCGTTTAAGAAACTATTTACAAAGTTTACAAATCTAATAGGAAGCATGAGATTTTTCAAGCAAAGCAATGAATTTTTTCAAACAAAGCAAGGAAATTCAAACAACATAAAGCAAGCAAATCCTCACAAAGTATTTTTAGGTTGTTTACTTAGATTTTGATGGCTTGGTAGGATAGCTTCATCTTCAAAGACCACATAGCCTCGGTCACTATCATTAGAGTGAACATCCTCAATAAAGTTCGACCTGAATCACCTTGCTACAAAGGCATGCTATTATTACAAAAAAAAAAAAAAAAAGGGTCATGATCGGTTTAACAACCTATGTAGAGCTTTCCTCTTTTCTTCTTTTTTAACAAATGTAAAAATATTGAGATATGTATATCAACATATGAACTTACCCGAGATTTCCTTCCAATTCCAAGTTCAGCTTGGAATATTATTATTTTTATTGTTTTTACATCGGGATGGGTTGATATGGAGCTATGAAATTCTATAGTTAATGAGTCGATTACAATAGTCGTAACTTTTTCCCGGAGCAAAGTAGGAGTTTGAGGTGCACTAAGTGATGAACTTCTATTGAGAAATCATGCAAAGGATGCTTGAAGAAATAACAATAAGGGCTATTGTTCGGATGACTAGCAGTTTTAGGATTTACTAGATCATCATCATCAAAGAGAGCATAAATCATGAGGTCACTTTTAGACTGATTGTTTTTTGGGAACTCGAAGTAGAATTAAAAATTTTTAGTTTCTATAACATTCTCCAAAGGATTTTAGGCAAGCATCTTAGTGGTCTTTGCATCCTTCCTCTTTGATTAGCTCTAACAAGGCACTCGTCAATATATTTTTCATTGTCCGGCCCAACATAAAATAAAATGCATATATTAGTTTTATCTTTGACAACATAGTGAAGCCAATAGCTCGAAGGTTGAAAACGCATGTAATTATCATAGTAGTAGGACAATCACTCTAAGTAACATGAACTTATCAAAGCATATATCAATAAGAGAAAATGTTCTTAACATTTATAGACATGATTGATAAAATTTAAACTCTATCTTGCTTCCATACTATGTTTTACCATAATATTCTACTCATTCTATTCATGGTTATAACCAAGATCTCAACTAAGAATAAAAAACCTCCCATTTATTTCTCACATTACTAATTGGACAAAAAAACCATGCCATAGCAAAGCCCCTTTATTAGGAACTTTGTGTCTCTTGCATTCAAGACCATTAAGGCCTTCCTTCAAGCTTTGAGACACTTTAGCCAAGTTTCATAACACCATCCCGACCTTAAATGAAAGTTTTTTATTCTTTGCCTTGCAAGTAAAATTATCTCTCGCCAATAAAGTAAACACAAACCAAGTAGATTAAGAAACATAACGTTTCATACGTTTAAAATGCTACAACCACATAACAATACAAAGCACACGATGACAACAATAAGAAAAAAGATCCCAAACTATTGTAAGTTTTACTAAAAGCTAACAAAGCACAAGATGATAATTTTCATAATATTTTATATATAACTTGTAAAACACAACTAGATGTATTTTTTTGACTTGGCAAAAGCTATAAAACATTATGAACCTATAGGGCTCCATAATTCACATCATTTGTTTGACTAGTGACCAATTTAGAAAGCATTAAACTATAGAGAGTGAAAAACACACCTTATAATAACATGTTAAAAAAATTTGCTCCTACAATACCAAAGAGAATTTCAAAAAATTAAGGTGATAACATTGAAAACAATAACAATATTTAGTCTACTATTATCTTCTGATGCTAAATCTATTCAAATGCAAGCATTTTTCCATGAAAGATTCTAGTCATAAATTTTTAGGTGGGAAGAAACTCATTTAACCTTCATATGAATGCACATGACCAGCCAACAAAAGATCAACTTTGTTTTTAACAATCCGTGACTCAAAAATAACTCTCATGCTTTCTCCTTCGATATAGTAGTAGTTATTGATGTTGTACCATAAAGAGTGAAGGAGAACAATCGGCTATGGAGTCTTGGGCTCTCGACTCGTATTAACCTTAGGGAATTCTTGTTTAAGCCAATAGTATATAACCTCATTTTGTTTCTACTCGAAATTAAGGGCTATAAAATTATAAGATAAACAATAAAATGCATATCCAAATCAATGATTTTATACCATATGCTTGAATAAGAAGAAATGACAATAATATAAGCAAGTGTGAGCTTGATGGAATACCAAATAAGAGATGTACTATGTGATGCGTTGTATAGTACATGGTATGCGTTGCTTTTTGAGACATCCAAGAATAAGTTTAGTAAGGGGGAAAAGGTCTTTATACACCAATTATGATAGGAAAACATGGTCCCTCCATTTCCACATGTAAAATCCCCGTAGGAGAATTTTTTTCCTACTC